AGTATTAATTAGTAAACTATTTTGTTTATCTAAATGTAGTTAAAGTAGACAAATCAGGATATTAATCCGATTCAATTTGAAACCGATCCATTTGGGCCGAAGAAAAATTCAATTGGACGATTTGTGTGCGGATTCTAGTTTGGTTTAAGATTATCCAGTAAGAAGAGAAGCTAAAAGTCATTTATTTAGTTGATCAATCGAGGTACTTAGAACATGAGAAATGGATGTTCCTGAATCGATGGTTTCATGTATAACAAAGATACAAAGATGTAACTGAGGTTATATGCACAAAAAATTGACAAAAAAACATCGATTAGCCAAAGATGTTTTTTTTTAACAATGGTAATTCTCATGAGGCAGCATCTACTTTATTTCGTAAACTACTAACTTCTAACGACTCTGCTTGCAGAAGTTGCACTGTCGTCTGGACCAATTGCAGCAGCAACAGAAGAATAAATATTAGACTGATGTAATGTATGCGAGGTAATATTTTCATACAGTATGTATTAAAATCTCTTTTAATAGATCTATTAGTAATAATTTATCATAACATTGTCATACAAATTCAAACACAACTTTGATTTATGTCTATTCAAAGGAAAAAACACTTCTCCTAATAATACAACTAGTATTTTTCTTTTAATTCATTGAAACTAAACAAATAAAATTTTAATACTTTGTCATCACCTGTTTTTTCTTTAAAGAAGTTATAATAATTGAAGAAATAAAAAGCAAACTAGTAACCAATCATATGCATCGTTTGTTCGTTCCAAAACATCTTCGACTGCTTCACCATCTCAGACCGTTCCGCCAGTATCCTCTGCTTCCAATACTCTTTGCTTCTACATAAATCATATTTATTGAGAAAAACACAAATTTTATCAATAATTCCTGAAATATATCGACTTCCATGGACATAAAAATGTGATATAGCAACTTTGAACAATCTATACTACCCAAGAAAAAGAAAACAAATTCGAAGTACAAAAAATCGTTTAAAACTTAACTAAACAAATGAAAACATTATTTGTCTAGACATATGTATGATAAATAATCCGTTCAAAACTTTATGGACACATGTATATATTGGTTTGGTGCAATCTAAATTAGATATTTGTCTTACCGTATCTTTAACAGAAGGTGCAGCTCGATCATGTGAACCGCTTCCGCATAAACTCCAACCTGCATATATACCGCGCGTGTAACAATCAAAACCTTATGGTATAGATAAATGGAATTACAAAACTTGTATGTTTTTTTTTTTTCTGAAAATTTTTACAAGAATCTAAACAAACCTCTCTACATATGGGACATTTGGAACGTTGTGGCGCGGCTTTAACGCCTTGGAAGATCATTACAGAAGCAGCCGAGCATGCACACGCTTTACAAAATATGTGACCACACTTTAAAGCGTACGGATTAAATACCGTTTCCTGCCCAAAGTAATCCACAAGAAGTTATTAGGTTTCAACTCCATGAGAGAAAAATGATTCAAATATTTAAACAACATTTGTTTGTGAAAAAAAGAAGAGCTTACCAGGCAGATTGCACAAGTTAGATCAAACTCCAGCTCTATTGAGTTAGGCAGCATGAGTTTCATCATTGGTTGATCTTCGTTGAGATTATCACACGTGACGCGACCAAACGAGTTCTTGAAGTTTCCAAGTTTTTCAAGACCAGAGTTGAGATAAAAGGCTCCAAGTTCTATAAGCCAAGGTGAGTGCAAAAGCTCTATGCGCTCTGCTCGCATTTTCAGCTTGAAATTCTTTCCATTCACTGAGCTATGCACCTGAAAGTAAACACTTTCAAACCGTTTTAACAAAGTTAATTGCCTTTTAAGTCCAATTACATTTTTCTGATCTTTGTAATAATCTCTAACCTTGTCATATTTCTTGAGGATTTTACGAATGGCAATTGCGTTCATTGTTATGTATTGAATCAAGATTTGGCCCTCATGGATTAAAGATTGTTTTTCGTCCGTGAAGCATCTGCATATACGCATCATGTATCTTTGCATCCCAGTGGCTACATGAAGATGGAGAAGATGCCTGACTCTTGACTTGAAGCATCCCGCTATGTCAGAAGCTTCCTTCATCAACTCCTCAAAGAACATCTGATCACACGCTGCATTGTAACAGATGATCATTTATACATCAACTATCTAATCTCGAATAAATAAAAAAGAGAATCAACACTAAACAATATGAACTCTTTCACATCAACAAACATTTTGAATATTATCCATAACCAGGACAACGTGTTGTAGGATATACATAGAGGAATACGAAAAGAATGATCTTAACTAAAACAATTTGTTCAGGAATCATAAGCTCCCGAGTCATATTTTTCTATATACTATTTTAGATTCATCTTTACTTCCAACGTATAATATTCTAACATTCTAACAGGTCATGCAAGTAGGAATATCTCATCGCCTCGGAAGTAACACTAAAATAAGGGTCACTATAAAGTGGGAATAGTTCATCGTGTCAACCACGCTCATAAACTTCCAATTCAAAACCAATTATGAATGACTGTAGTGACTCAATGTTCTTTATGTACTATGTTAGATCTATCTCCAGTCCTATAATGTCAGATATTCTAACAAATGTTCAAGTAGATGATCAAGAGAAAGCCATAGGGTTGAGAGCACTGCTATGTATTAAGATCATTCCCCAATCCCATTATCTATTGATTTTTGGATTAGAATGTTGCGCTAACATTACAAAGGTTATATATATATGAAGAAGAGAGTGAAAAGGGAAAGAAATTATTCATACAAGGGCAAGATTGGCATTGGCATGAATCAGACAAAGAAGTATCCGATGAGATGGTGTGTTCATCACCAGATCTTGTGGAGTTACATGTCTTGCATTTCTTTAATACTTTCTTGAGTTTCTTATACTCAACATGCCGATATTTTTCTAGGAACCATTTCTCTTCTCCATGTAGATATTCCGTGAACGTTTCTCCAAATTTCATCTTCACACATACTACACAAATTTCAATTTCAAGCTGCAATTATAATTTTAGAAGCCAATATTATGATCTAATCGAAGAAAAGCGTCGAATTGTAACAGATTTTTGATATTGGAAAAACATTGAAATATTTTGAAGAATAGTGAATTTGTGTACGTTCCAAAAGAGAATAACCCTCTTGACCTCTTCATATATATGTTTTGGTAGAATCGAATTGACTATAAAAGAGAGATGGAAATATTTCGAAGCCAATTTATATACCTTTTGTCACGTCAAACGACAATGGATCTATTCAGGTGATTAATAAGAAGCTCAGAATCTGAAGCTGGTGGAGGAAGACGAAAGCTCTTCCGATTAAAGTCACTTTTAACTTTATTGGGTATTCGATTTCCTATTTTTAGGGTTTTGTTACGCTTTTTTTTCTTTTTCTTTTAACGTTATTTTTAGGGTTTTGTTATACAAACATATCTCAAACAAAGTTATAGTTGCTTTGGTTACCTCAATAGTTATCGTTTAAAACGGCATGCCACTTACGTGTCATAATTTTATCTCCAACGAATTGTGCCCATTTGTGTCTCGTAATTTCATTGGTGGTCACATTGGCCGTACCAAAAGATCATCTAAGGACATAAAAGACTAACTTCTAAATATCACACTGTAAACTCATTCGTTTCAATATTTTTTTTCTTCTTTTTCATTAAATTCCATATCTAATACTGTAGTCTAGTTGGCAAAGACACATTAGAATTCTCAAAACCAAAAGTTAAAAGTGGTCAAATATTCAATTTTGTCACACTAAAATTGCTATTATTACTTCGTTGAAGTCTAAAATGCTTTTTTTTTTTACAGTGAACCCACGTATCGGAATATAAAACATGGTTAAAAAGAAAATTCAACAAGAGTATGAATGAAGTTTCAAGGAAAGACCTATATTCCATACCCTTTCACTTAGCCGTAACATGTCTTTTATAAAAAGGTAAATTTAATGAGACTATATGATATACTGGAAAGAATCATGAAGCTTCCACTTTTTCTTTTATGTTCAACGAACCTCTCCTTTAAACGATGGCCTTTGGTTTTGGAACTTCCACTAATAACAAAAAAATTAAATTAATATTAAGAAACATAATTCGACTTTTCTTTATTCACCTGTAATCACATGGATGCCAACATGAGTGGATTCAGACTTGGCAATCATGTGAGGCTAAAGACCATATTTTTAATGTTGAGTTTCAATGATTACATAACCAATATATGCTTCCTTCTATATTATGTGATTATGTCAAGCACAAACAATATGTATGGAATCAAAACTCTTTAATTTGTTATTTAATTTTTTGCGTTGAAGCAAAGTTGCCATATTTTTTTCAAATTCACCCCAAATCTATCTTAAAACTTATCAAAACTCAACAAATTAATCAGCTAAAATTAATGTCGGGACTTTAATTTTTTCATATATTCTCTTTTGTTTTTTGTCTTTTATAGTACTTATCATTATTATGATGTTACACACTCCAACAATCTCAATTTTTAAATTATATAGGATTTGACTATCTCAAGACCGCTTATTCATGGACTATATATCCCACTCTTTCCATCTAAAGCTATACAATTGGGTAGAGTTGGATCTCTAGATTTGGTTCAGCCGTCGGTTCCATTAAGCTAGTTAGCTAGAGGTGGGTGTAATTGTCTCCTCTTTAGTGGACTTTTCATGGTTTTATTTTTGAATTTGTAACTATAATTTTATTAAGTCTTTTAGTCTATACAACCAGGTTTTTTCCCAATTTTCATAGAAAGCAATTTAACAAAATAATTGTTTATATCTTTGCCTTTTCTCCCTAAATATAATTAAGGTTGATTTAGTAATACGTACTAGTTTTTATAAGTAGTTTTAGTTTCAATAGTACTATTTTGGGGGTATTTTTCCATAATAAATGTATAAACGATGCAGAATCAAAATGCCGAATTATTTTTTGTTACGTGAAGATCTGACTCCGTTATCTTTTTGATGCAACGAACGGTTGATGAAAAGGCAACTTTGAGTTTAAGCAAAAAAGTAAGATTCTGTACTAAAAAAAAAGTTGGGGTGTGTGAACTATCAGCACTTTTCGCCAAACTCATACATAAGCGTATACGCATATATAAAGTTTTAGTTTTATTCTTGTTGAAAATGACGAACACTAATTCCCAACCATAAGATTGTCAAATTTTCCGTCTGTATCAGTCCTTTTCCTAGCCTTTAAATTTGACACAATGCTTTCCCTTCATTTTGTTTAGTATTAGTGTTGTTGTTAAAAAAAAAAGTTTAATATTAGTGTATTAATTACCGACAACATTGATTTCCAAAAGTTGAACTTTAGTCAGTATATATAGAGTAATTTGGTCTAATACCAACTTTGGTGAGTAAAATTTGAGTGCAGCCCTCAAACATTACAAGACACCACGTGAGTAGTAGCCGTGGTTAAAGTGTTGTAACTAAACTCGATATTAGGTGGCTAAAACTAACTTTAGCCATCGATCATCTAATGCGTCATCATTCATAGCCGAGCAAGTAATGCCACTTTTCGTAGTCAGTACTAATTATTGATATGACCAATCCATGGTCAAAAGTCTAACCAAGAAAATTACAAAAGTAAGGAAATTCTCGTATTTTTAAACTACAAAAGTCGCTACGAAACATGTTTCACGGCCACAAAAAGACACTACTAATATGCAATCAGCGATGAATTTTATGTGTCTATACGGATTATCCATGTTCATGTTTGTATATTGACTACGAAGTTAACCTCTGTGGAAATTGGATACGAAGGGTCATAGAAACATCTAAGCGAAGCGACATCAAGCTTAGTCATTGATCCTTCGTAACCACGTTGATTATATAATTTTATGCGGTTGATAGCTATTAGTTGGCTACGACTAATCCATGGCCTTTAATTTAAAAGCTAACTTTATTTATTAATACATTAATATTGACGTTTTCGTATTAATAAATTAGAATTACATCAATTTTAGTAATATGAGAGAATTTCATGAATAAAATTAAAATGTAGTGAATTCGGAAATGATTTGTATTTTAAATGGATAAAATATGAGTTATCCGTAATTTCATACCATTAAAAACCTAGTCGATGTGCGTTCCATCAATGTTTATGAGGTTGATTTTTTATCTGGTTTCAAAAGTTGTAATTAGAGAAGTTAATGCCTGAAGAGCTAGGGGATTCGCCAAATGGTATAGTACCTGCATTTGCGTGATGTGTGGTGGGACGTAGGATCATTTGAATGCCCTAATCCCACAACAACAACAGCTTCTCGTGGATCTTTGTGACGTTGGGATCGTCCCCAAGGGTTTATGAGCTTAAAGCAAACAAAATTTTCTTTAGCTCATTCACAAATATTTTTGTTTAAATATCACAAAAATTGTAGGGTTAGGGTAGGGGTCCAACCAGAGACCTTGAAGGTGTTCAAAACATGTTCGACTATTGCACCGTAAACGATTTTTCAAAAATGATTCTTTTAGGTGAAGGTCGGGCTTGATCCCCTTGATGTTTATATAAGTGTAAGTTTGACTGTTTTTGCATGTAAATTCGTATAAATCTAGATGTTTAAATCTTTTACAAATTCTCCACATATGTATAATTTAAATGTTTTCTATGCAAAATAAAAAAAAAATCAGAATTTTCGCAGCAAGAGAGCACGCACTCATATTAGAGGAAAGATGTGTTTTTTTATAGCTTAACCCTCTCATTCTTGTCGAATACATAACCATCTTGACAATTTTTGTTTTTTGTAAATATCTTTCCAACGTATATTGAATTATGCAAATTGGATTT